CCCCAAAACCCCAAAACCCCAAAACCCCATCGTGTGAAATACCAAATTCTTTGAGATTTTAATTATTAAGTTGATTATTGAATAAAAGAATGGAAGAGTCTAATAAAAATGAAGAGTCAAACTCGAACTAACATCAAGATCTCTCAATGAATCAAATCTAGTAGCATGATAATGAGTAATCAAGCAACCAGGTTCAGAATGATACAACACTGAATCAAATTCATGAAGAGCAAGAAAATATTCAAGAGGACAATAATCAAGACATTTAGGATGACCTCCTAGAGAATCAACAAAATGCGATAAATGAGGAGTAGTAAGTGTAAAAGTAGAGGAAAAACCGCGAGTTATCATATATGAAAGCCCAGAATATAATTAACGACAACAATAACTTGGTTGTAAAACAAAGACAATCTTAAGGTTCTTTCCTTAAGAGTTAGCAAGCAAAGATGTATAACTTCATATCTAAATAGAAGCAAGAGAGAGCATTAGATTTCAACCAGATGAGAAAGAACTTAGATGCTTTGAGAATTCCATAGGATATTGAGTATCTATTTCCAAACAAAGTGAGAGTTTATGAGTAAATGAGGGATCTTGATGAATAAATGAATCAATTCATAAAGTAGAAGCTTCTAAGTGTAAAAGAAGATCTGCTTTAGAATAATGCGCCAAAGGGCGTAAAAAGAAACATGCGAGCCATGATTGAAGTTTTTCATGTTAACCCACATGCTTAAATGACAGGAACTGAATGGAAAATAAGAATTGAGGGAAGACTTATGGGTCAAGAGACTGAAAAGCAAATTCTAGCAGATGACGGATCTACAGGTAGCAAAAGATTTTTGAGTTTCTTTGAGAGAGTTAAAATTGAATTCCCCTAAGAGGAATATCCTGATGTTGAATGGAATAAAGCGAAGACTGATACTGGCTCCTCATTTGACTGCATTGAGATCGTAAGAGCTTTCCCGAAAGATTAAAAGAGAAAATAATAACCTATTCCAGTCAAACTAAGCTTCTATGTTGAGAACAATCCTAAGAAATATAGACTTTCTAGTTAATTATCGAAAGTCCTAGGAATTGAGGAGGATACTAGGCTTCGTATTATAGGTGCACTTTGGTAATTTATAAAATCAAACAGACTATAAGACTCGGATAATCGCGAACTCATCAACTGTAATTCGGAACTAATGGAAATATTTGGTGATGACAAGCTAGAGTTTCATAACGCTATCTTTAAACTTAAGGATCATCTCTTTGATATCCTTCCGATTGAGTTAAACTTTGAAATCCAAACTAAAAGAGGTTGTCCCTAGTAAACTATTCACTTTTATGATTTGCCTGTGTTTGAATATCATACAAAATCTTAAAGAGAACAGATTGAATTCCTAATTAACTGCAATTACGACTTTTTTAATAGTAGCTAAGACCATTTGGATCTTGATAATGGGACCCATAGCACTACTAAACTAGCATTGAATGGAAACTTACTTAAGAAAAGAGAGACCAAGTATAATATTAAGATTTCAAATTCAATTGAGAAAATGAAGAAGAGTTATAGGCATATGGAATTTTACAACAGAATGAGCAGAGACGTGAAAACCTAGATTTAAAATGTGATTGTTGAATAAAATAAATGGCTAAAAGTTATATAGGAAGAATAGACTCCCTACTTTGAGCCTCAAGGGGAGCATGAATAAGCTATGTTCTATCAGTAAAACTAGAATTGGATTATGGGGGAGGTTGAAAATTACATCACCTAAGTTAAGAGTATAAAAGCAGCAAAAGCTTAAGAAGAGGAGAATATGAATGACCAATCTTATGGTAATGAGGATGAAATTCAGGGTAATGAAAAAAATCAAAGTAATAATGAGAATTCTAGAAGTTAAAACAAGAGAAGTGTGGGTGGTGGTGATAATGAGCAGAGTGAAAAGAAACATTCTATCGTACCTAATGGACTCAGTTCCGCAGTTAATGGTGCTCATGTTACTACAAGAAGTGGCTCCTATAACCTTAGAGGAGCTTAATGATTTACAATTTATAATTAAATTTAAGAAATGTTCTGCAAAATTATAAAATTACTTGAAATAATTTACTAATCTAAAGTAATGAATATAAAATGGGGTTTTGGGGTTTTGGGGTTTTGGGG